GATTCGCTTAAGAAGCGGGCGACTAATTTAACAATAAGTCGTAAGTACGTGCCTGTGTCAAAGATCACCTTTTAGTGATGACCTCGGAAGCTTCCACCTGCTAACAAAAGCAGGCCTGGGTTTTAAAAGAAAAGAGTTTAAATACTGTATTCCCGCTGACAAAGATTCAGCCACGTCTTTAATCAAACCGTTGCTGATATACAGCCGTGCCTAACAATGTTCTATTTCCACAGGGATGTAAGAGTAAGATCCTAGCGACACCTGCCAAAAAATGTCAGAATATTCAAAAATGTTTAGATCAGAATTGGCCCAAGACACACTCAAAGGCTTAAATGCCAACATTATTTTACTTGGTGTCTGCGGAAGTCTCTGTTGTTTCTCTGTGTCACATTTGTGTGTGTGTGTGTGTGGTATATCCACACTGGTATCGTTTTGAGAGCTGAATGCAACGAAATTTCATTTTCACGTATGCGGATTAGTGCACATTTAAAGTGACAATAAAGTTATTATTCTATTCTTTTCTTCCCTATCAGGATTTGAGTAGAACAATTTCACCTCCCTGCGTGGACCTGTCGCCATAACGTCTCGGAGACCCCCCTCAAATCCACAGCGTCAGCCCCTTGGCATCCTGCAGGGGCTGGGAACTACAACACCCACCATTCCTTGCAGCTGGTGGGCGTGAACCTTCCAAGCATAAGAGGCAAAAAAAAAAAACCCAGGTTGCCTAGAGAGCATGCGGTCGACTTAGGAAAAATGTGCCACATTTTAAGGAGATTTTCCCAACCCCGGCTGGAAAAATCGGCATGGAGGTTAAGCAGTAACAACACCGAGGACACGGTGGCCGGGCAAGGCTCATGGGAGTTGTGATCCCAGATTGCATCTGACAAGCTAGCAGCCCGGGGGCAATTGTGCTAAATAATTGTGCTTAGGTTGTAAAAAAAAGAGGGAAGACCCCTCCATGCACCTGCTTCCAGGATATTGCCAGCCACAATAAAAATATTGCTATCCTGCTAAAAAATGTCCCTTTAGGTTTTTTTCCCCCCAAATGTGGATGTTTTATACACAGGTAACTAAAGGATTCTTTTTCTCTTTAAAGGCTTCTTTTTTCCTGCCCTTCAATGAAAACCTTGCAAAAATAATTATAATTATCAGACCGGCCCCACCCCAAAGGCTCCCCCCCTTTAAAAGGAGTAACAGGTATGGACTACAGAGCCTGTCTCTGCAGAATGTGGGGGTCATAGGTCAAGGCATCCCTTGGCTGGTTGTGGATGATGGGAGCTGTGGCCCACCCTTAAAACTCCAACGGGGTGGGCTCAAGTCCAATAAATGGGGGGAGACTCTGTCTGGGGAGGGGGAATGGACAAGTTGGAGGTCTAGGAAGAGCAGAGACCCCCCCTGAAATATCGTGGATGGAAAATACTGGGGGGTCTAGTGAGGTTTGTGGGTGGGGAGTCTTCCAGGGATAGGATGATGGGATAGGAGTCCAGGGCTGCTGCGGAGGGCATATAAGGTCACAGGATGGGGTCAGCCCTCCCCTCCAGGAGAGTGGCAGGGGGTGATGGGAGGCAGAGTTATGTAGTCCTCTCCCTGTTCTGGGCCAGGATGATGGGAGGAGCACACCCTGGGAAGATGGGACAGATGGGCACTATAGTCCTCTTCCTTTTCTGGGCCAGGATGGATAGGGGGGGACTAGGGATGATGGGAGGGGCACACCCCCTAAAGGCGGGGCAGATGGGCACTGTAGTCCCATCTCTTTTTTCAGCCAGGACTGATGGGGAGCCTCTGGATGATGGGAGGGGCATTCACTCTGTGAAGGCAGGGAGGATGGACACTGTAGTTCTGTCCCTCTGCTGGGCCAAGATTGAAGGAGAGGCTATGCATGAAGGGGGGGAAGAGAGAGAGACACACCGTGAAGGCAGAGAAGTTGGGTTCTGTAGTCCTATCCTAGGGCAGGATGGATGGGGGGGGCTACGGATAATGGGAGAGGTGCACCCTCTGAAGGTGGGGAAGATGGGCACTGTAATCCTGGATGAAGATTGATGAGAGGACGTGCATAATGGGAGGGGCACACCCTCTGAAGGCGGGGAGGATGGGCGCTGTAGTCCTACCCCTCTTCTCAGCCAGGAATGATGGGTAGGCCGTGCACGATGGGGCACACCCCGCAAAGGCAGGGAGGATGGACACTGTAGTCCTACCCCTCTTCTCAGCCAGGAGTGATGGGGAGGCCATGCATGATGGGAGGGGCACACCCCCTGAAGGGGGGGAGGATAGATGCTGTAGTCCTCCCTGAAGGCAGGGAGGATGGACGCTGTAGTCCTACCCCTCTTCTCAGCCAGGAGTGATGGGGAGGCCATGCATGATGGGGGGGCACACCCCCTGAAGGGGGGGGAGGATGGATGCTGTAGTCCTCCCTGAAGGCAGGGAGGATGGACGCTGTAGTCCTACCCCTCTTCTCAGCCAGTAGTGATGGGGAGGCTATGCATGATGGGGGGGCACACCCCCTGAAGGGGGGGAGGATGGATGCTGTAGTCCTCCCTGAAGGGGGGGAGGATGGATGCTGTAGTCCTACCCCTCTTCCCAGCCAGGAGTGATGGGGAGGCCGTGCACGATGGGAGGGGCATTTCCGCCCCCCCCCCGCGGAGGCGGGGATGATGGGCGCCGTGGTCCTCCCTCCCTGCCCCTCCCGGGGGGGGGGGCGCCGGCTACTCACACCTCCAGGATGCGGTCCCCCTTGCGGACCCCGGCGCGCTCGGCCGCCCCTCCGCCCAGGACGGCGCTGACGTGCTGCAGCGGCGCGTAGAGCTCCCCGTGGATGCTGCGCAGCTGCCCGCCCTCGCTGACCTGCCCGCGCACGTTGAAGCCGT